GGCGGCGGCGGCGGCGGCGGCGGCGACCGGGAGAGGGAAGTGCGCCTGCGCGCTGGCTGGGAGGCGCAGGCGGGGACTGCCTACCCCGCTTCCGGCGGGCGAGCTGAACAAGTGCGCCTGCGCTCTGAGCGCCCGCTCCTTAGGGCCCCACCCACACGCCCGGGTCATCGGGTTAAGCCACGCCCCTCACGCAAATCTCACGCTTAAGCCCCGCCCCCGACCTGAATCACTATTTCAGAGCTTAATTGTAACAAGCCTCCACCGACCTCTCAAATTGCATCCTCCTTCCTTGCCTTGATCCCACGAATTTTCTGCTCATCCCCACTTCCAGGACCCTATTCTCTAGACGTCCTCCTCACCCTCTGAAGCCCCGCCCCTCTAGACCCGGCCTCAGCTTTAGGCCAAACCACGCCCTTGCTTAGCCCCGCCCCCTAGCATTTAAGCGCTCTCGCAATTTCAATGTGATCTTTGTGCCTCCAACCTCTGAATCGTTCTCTTAAGTCAGTAGTTCTCAACTATGGTCCAAAGACCAGCAGCAGCGGAATCACCCCGGAAACTTAAAAATGTAAACTCAGGCCCTCTGCTCTAGACCTGAATCAGAAACCCTGGGGTACAAACTTCCAGTGATAAAATACGTAAGTCACGATGTCATGTACAGCATTGGGAACACAGTCAGTAATATAACTGTATGGTGACAGATGGTAACTAGATTTATCGTGATCATTTGGTTATGTATAGAAATGCCGAATCACTGTTGTAGACCTACACTAATAATGTATGTCAACTTATAACTCAACTAAAAAAAAAAAAAAATACCCTCCAGGTGATTCTGATGCAGGCTAGTCAGAACCACAGCTTTACCACACATTTGATACTGCCCCTCATATGTCGCTGCAAATTGCATCACTGACTCAGCCCCAACCAAGTAGCTGAGCCTAGTTCTATCTAGTCCATCTTGCTAAGCTTCCCCTCTCCCCTCTCAGGGATTTCCGTCACTACTCTCTTAGGTTTGTTCTCTCTCCCCTTGGCCTGAATAGCAGTCATGCCCACCCCTCAGCATCTTAACACTTCGGTACCACCCCTCCTGACACCCTCCCCTCAGCTGAACACTATCCATTCCTCTAAAATACTCACTTTCTGCCGCCAACCCCTAAACCAATTTAAGAGCCACCCCAGTTCATATAGCCTGTCTAAACTCCGCCTATAGTTCCCACCTACCTGACCAATAAGCCTCACTGCTCAGTCCCCGTCGGGCTCCGCTTCTAGCCCCGCTCCCCAGGCCACACCCCTTTACCTACCTAAGCCCTAGCAAAGTTGTCAGTTCTAACTCAGACCATCAACTCAGCTTTTCCTTCCAAAAAGAGTCAGGAAAAAGAGATGGGGCAAAGTGGTGGCTGCAAAATTTCCAGGAATCTGGCTGGACCAGAGGATGAGGGACTTAGAGTCACATCTACACAGAAGGTTCAATGTCTTACTTAGAGTGGATGTTTAGGGGAGCGCTTTGGGGTCTGCTGGAGGTGGGAGAGGGGACAAAGGCTACCCCCAAGCTAGTTCTTTAGCACCAAGTTAATAAGGCACATGACATGGGGTCCTCCCAAATTCCATGCATTCCCATGGGTGTAGGCAGAAGAGCATTTGAAAAGGAGTAGCCCTGGCCAGTGTGGCGCAGTTGGCTGGGTGTCCTTCCATGCACCCAAAGGTTGATAGTTTGATTCCTGGTCAGGTCATATGCCCAGGTTGTAGGCTCATCCCCAGTAGGGGGCGTGCAGAAGGCAGCCAACCCATGTTTCTCTCTCCCTTCCTCTCTCTCTCTAACAAAAAGTAGAAAAGTAGAGGAGGGCCAGCCCTGGTACCATCACTGAACACACAGGGGAAGCCAGAAGGCAGCGATTTATTTCCATGGCCCCTGCCTCTAAGGGCCTGTCAGTCCAGGAGAGGGTGGAAGAAGGCAGCAGAGCCCAGAAGTTTAGGTCCTCACCCACAACCCCCTCCCACAACAGGAAGACCACCAGACATGAGGGTGTCCCAGCCTCCCTACCCAGGCGCAGCACCAGCTGAACCCCCAGCTCTAAACCTAGCCTGGGGAGGGTTGGCCGGGGCTGTGGGTCAGGCCAGCTCTTTCCCCTCCAGCTCCTCCTCCTCTTCCTCGGCCCCTTCTGTGGCCGGGATGCCCTCATGGTCCCACGGTGGCTCAGGCCCTGGGGGACACATGGGTGACCCCATGGTCTCGGGGTGCTTTCGTTTGGCATGGCGCCGGAGCGAGTTGGCCTCTGTGAAGCGCATCCGGCAGATAGGGCACTGGTAGGGCCGCTCCCCTGAGTGGACACGGTGGTGGTGAGCCAGCTCGCCCGCCTCCCGGAAGCGGCGGGGGCAGAGTGGGCAGCGAAAGGGCCGCAGGCCGGTGTGGATGTTGCAGTGCCGCCGCAGGTGGCTGGACCGCTTGAAGGTCTTGCCGCAGTCCTTACACTCGTGTGGCTTCAGCTCCGAGTGGGAGATGCTATGGCGCTCCAGGTCCGAGAGGTAGGGGAAGGCCCGCAGGCACACTGGGCAGAAGTGTGGGGTCTTCCTAGGGCCGGAGCCCTCAGGCCCTTCAGCCACTGACCCTTCAGAGACTGTATAGGGCACACCCTGATCATCGATCAGCAGGAGGTCAGTGCCATCGCTGCTGCCCACCTGGGCTGTCACCCCCTGTGCAAGCGGGGGCTCCTGCCCTGACTTGGGGGGGCGGCCCCGCTTGCGAGGGAGGCAGGCCTTGAGCGTCTGATTGGAGGAGGTGGCCCCTCCAGGACATTCACCCCGGCGGCCCCGGGGAACAGGAGGCAAGGCCAGAGGTTTCTCTTCCTCCCCCGGCAAAGGCGAAGGCAACCGGTCTGGGCTGGGGGTGTCCATTGAGCAGTGGAGGACTTGGGTCTGGGCACTGGAGCCGGGCTAAGAGGAGAAAGGGGGCAGCTGTCAGTGCAGGGAAGGTCTGGAGCACCCCTTGTCCCCCGAGACCTCGCCCATCCCTCTGAGTCTCATGACCTGGACATGGCTGACATTCACCTGGATTCACAAGTAAAAGGACAGAATTCTGTGCCAGCTGGTAAACAGGCACCGCCCTGAGCCCCAGAGAGTGCCCAGGCCTCCCTAGGCCCTAACACGGATCTCGAAGTTCAAGGTCAATTTGAGCCAAAATAAAGAAAAATCTTCAAGAGAGGAGAGAGTCCAACTGAGGGTACAGGCCAGAATTGTGATCCTCAAAGCAGAGAGCCCATCAAACTCCAGAGCCATAGAGGCCTCAGAAATGTTTCTGTCCGTGCTCTTGATTGGTAGAAGTGGGAGGGCAAGGGGATTCAGGACCACAACAAGTAAGGGGCTGGTCCCAGGTGATGTTTGACCCTGGGTAGAGGTGAGGAAACACACTGGAGTCTAGTCTCCGGAGTCAGATGTTCTGGGTTTGATTCCTGTGTCTGTCACTCTCTGTGTGGCTTTGGGCAAGGTGCACACTTTTCTTAGCCTCAGTCAAGCCTTCTGCAAAATATGACGAAGAGTTCCACCTACTCGCAGGGACAAGCCATGAGTGCTCAGAGCACCTGGGAGACATTAGCCCTCTGAGGAGGTCACAATCACCCTCATTTAGCAAATGGGGAAACCCAGGCACAGGAAAGCCACGTCAGTTGCCAAAGCTCCCTCTGCTAGGAAGTGGCAGGGCCAAGATTCGAACCAGATCTCACTCGGACACAATGGTCCAGCCTAGGGAGTGAGAAGAATGGGACTCAGGGGATGAGGTGACATCATGGGGTCCATTGGTCCTGGGTTTGAATCCAGCTCTGTGAAATGGGTATACCAGGGTTGTCCATTGGCACATAGTAAGGACTCAATAAACTACCACCACCACCACCACCATCATCAGAGCTGGGGACCAAGGGACTGGGGTGTCACAAAGTGGAGGGAGGGGGGAAGCACAGGTGCAGTTAGGAGCAGGGTTTGCAGGTGCCACTGCGACCCCTTGGAACAGGCACACATATGGAGGTCCAGAGGCGGGGCAACCGCTTTTCCAGGATCGAATGGTTCGCTCCAGTGGGGGTCCTGGACTGTAACCAGTGCCTCTGGAGTGGTGCTCCGACCCTCGCCCATCACCCACTCACGAGCAGGC